CCGCTGCTACTCCTTCTCCCCGCTGCTACTCCTTCTCCCCGCTGCTATTCCTTCTCTCCGCTGCTATTCCTTCTCCCTTCTAATAGAGTATCTTCTCTCGCTTTTTCTTGCACTTGCCAGCCCTCCTCCTCTCAATAGTGCTGATGGCCACAGGTGTCAGAAACCCCTCTTCCTGCGTGCTCTGCCTCGGGAAAGGCTTTCTCCAGACACCAGCATCCGCCAGGGTAGACATGCTTCCTCAGTATTTCCTCCAGGCCCGGGCCTTGCCCAGAGCCCCAGGTGCTGGACAAGCACACGTTTTCACATCCCGCCAGCACCTGACATGTGTCCTGTGGCCAAATAAGGCCCATCAGTGTCAACTCAGTCAAAACTCAGACATCATTACCTCCTCCTTCTTTCTCTAAACCAGGGGTCCTCTACCTTGAGTGTGTGCTTAAATCCCCTAGATTGCTGGGCTCCAGCTTCTGGGTCAGTAGGTCTGGGCCTGGCCTGAGGATTTGCACACCTGACAAGTGCCGGGAAGATGCGCTACTGCGAGAACCGCATGACCTCCTCTGGTCACTGGGTCCTCTTGTCCTTTCCTCGTGGCCTCTGTGTGGTTGCTCCCACTGACTCACAGGGACTTCCAACCTGGGGTCCCTGGTGCCTTCCTAGCTCCACCCACCCACCCCATACCTGCAACCCAAGGACTCCCCCACCGCTTGGAGAATAAGTTCTAGGCTCCTTCGTGTGACATCAGAGGCTCCCCATAATTCGATCCCAAACTCCTTCTGCCGTCTTATATCCTACTCTGCCCTGGTTCGGCCCTTCTGCTCCAAATGTGGTTAACATTCTGTTCCCCAAACACTTCAGTTTAGCGCATTGGGAACAAGAGAACCAGGAACAGTCCCCAACATCGCACATCCCAGGTATGCAGTCAGAGAGCCCGTCACTTACTCCGGGGGCCTCAGAGTCTAGGTCCTCAAGACCCCTGGTGGTAGTAACACCTGTGCCCTCCCCGAACCTCAAAGTTACACAACGGCCCATGAGATTTACATATATATTTAATAATAGGTTCAAAATACATGTCGTGTCTACGATGCAGCCTAGGGCAATGGCTTGGGACTGTAGAAAGGTTTCTCTGATTGAAGTGATCCACGCTGTTGAAAGCTGAACCCGAACTCATTAGCTGTATGTTCACCTACAAGCCTGTTTCTCAGTTCAACAAATTGGAAGGTCTGTTCCCACTGGTAATTGAATTGGTGTGTCTGTGCCTTGAACCGTCGAATGTCATTCGTTTTACTCTTGGTTAAGTCGATGTGGCGCTCCTGGCAGGACCGAGGTTTGCCCTGTCAGTCACAAAGAAGCCAAGACATGCATTCAGTACGTCACGTGGACGTCTGTCAGCCTGAGCTCACGTTTGCTTATGTAAAGTTCTAACTTTGCAAAATAAAATTACATTCTCATGTTATTTTTTAATCTCATCTTCCCTTTGGGAGAAAAAAAAAAAAAACTTTGTTTTAAAGTGATTTTCCTATGTTTTTTTAGGCTTACCTCCAATTCCTTCAGCTTCCAGGACAAGCTTTGCAGAATTTTCCATGAGGGAACGCATGAGGGAGAAATTACAAGCTGCAAGGGTGAGAAAAACCACATGAATATTTTGCTCGGTGGCTGATTGCCGTTCCTCAGGTCTCATCTGGAATGCTCTGTCTGCTCAAAACTGCACGGGTTTGAATGCCGTTAGATTTGTTTTTCTTGTTTTAAATATTAATGTGGTATTTAACATTGGCACAGGTGGAAAATTATGCTTAAGTAGTCGGTGTCATTTTCCTTAACCATTTCATTTGCTCTTCTCTCTTGAAGAGGTGCAGCATGTAGTCTTTACAGATTGTTTCTACCAAGATGGTGACTGAGGTTTTCGCAGCATTCCTGTTGCTACCCAGCAGTGATTCTCTGTTTGACTTTGCAGTCCAAAGCAGAAAGCACGTTGCTGCAGGAAATTCCCATCCCTCGGCCCAGGCACTTACAAAGTCCCAGAGAGAAAGAATTGGAAACTGAATTTGGCACGGAGGTGAGAAAAGGACCTTCTCTACTTTGCAATCAAAAACAGTGAAGCAGAATATAACATCTCCTGCGCAAGTTTCTAGAACAGAGCTGTGCACAAAGGAGGCACTCTCAATGCTTATCAATAATCATCGTAGCTACTATTTATAGAGTCTTGCTCAGGCCAGGTGTTTTCCCTATGTTCTCATATTTCATTACCCCAGCACTCTGATGGTGTGGGTTCTGTAGTGTTTGTTCACATTTGACCAATGAGGAAACTAAGGTTCAAAGCAGCCGCGAGCCCATTCCCAAATCACAGGGCATGCATGCAAGAGTCAGGATCGAATTCAGGTCTTTGTCATTCCCAGTCTGTCTTCCTGGCTCAGCGTTGCTGGCCTGTGGATCCTGCTGGGAAGCAGAGAGAGATAGGAGTGCAGTAGGAAAGTAAGGTGGGATGGTGGGGGCCCTGAATATCACACAAAGGGCCTCGGTGGTTTCCTACAAGCCATGGAAAGCGGTTGACCACAGACTGGGGAGGTGGTTTGAATGCACTGGAGTGAATTTTGTTTGAATCTGAGGTGCTAGGGGGACATGTCAATGCGTGCGCCTCTAGAAACACATACAAAGGAAGGGACCAGGCCTGGAGAAACAGGTTTTGGAAGCATTTCTACTGTGGTGAGTTTTGGAGTTTTGAGCAGCCTTTGTTTCCTGACAGAAAGAAGACTGAATGAGGACAGTCTTGACACTTGGAGAAAAACTGACCGTTAAGGCCCATGAGGAGGACAGGAAGCCAGTAAAAGACAGAAAAAAATCTTGTCAGGGGTGTAGATGAAGGACAAGCCTGTAAGAGGGTGGAAGAAGGAAGGAAAGAACAGAGCAAATGGCTCAGTGAAGCGTCTACAAGTCTAAGCCACTTGTTTGTTGTGGATGGTGATGGTTTGGGTTGGTTTCACTCTTGAGACAAAGAAGCGTAGGTGTGAAGGAATTTTTGTAGAAAAACCACTGGTTGCTTAGAGGATGAGATGTTTTAATATTTTTTTCTTTTTCTGTGATGAGATGTTATAACATTTTGCCTATATTCATCCCAAACAAGCCAAAGATTGCACGATTACAAGGAAAGTTATATCCGTGTTCGTGTGTCATGGCCCAAGATTCTTTAGTAGAAACGTTCTGTGGTCTGATGAAATGGCTTTATGACAGTTTGTTGCTCCATTCTGCTGTGGAGACATTTATTTTTCTTTGATTCTAAATTATGTTCTTCATTGTAAGAGCCATAATTTTAAAATATTGGAAAATAAAGGAAAACTACGTAAAATCTCATCAGCTTGACACAAACACTTCCGTTATGTTGTTAGGTGTGTGAATCCTGGCATCTGGTCAGATGGGTTAAGTGATCAGATGATCTGGTCTCTTATATCAGAGCCTGTCTATACTTTTTTTTTTTTAAGAGTTTATTTATTTGAGAGAGAGACCATGAGTGGGGGGCAGGCAGAGGGAGAAGCCGGCTCCCCGCTGAGCAGGGAGCCTGATGAGGGACTCAATCCCAGGACCCTGGGATCATGACCTGAGCTGAAAGCAGATGCTTAACTGACTGAGCCACCCAGGCATCCCTAAGCCTGTCTATACTTTCTGATTGATAACCATTCACAAAGTCATGGCAGCTCTCACTTGTCCATGGGCCATGAATATGATACCCCAATAAAGCTTTAAGTTGTAGAAGTAAAAATATACTCCCTTGGCTTACAGAGTATTGCTTTTTGTGAGCAGGACCTTGACTTATATCTATTATATTCCATATCCCCTAAGAGCCATTCTATGGATTTGAGGTGTTAGAAGAGGTCATCAAAAAGGCATGACCACTGGTTGACCTGCGAGCTGGACCGAAGCAATTGGAGGTTCCTCAACCCCTCCCTTGTCTTGGGAATGTGTGTCCCACTTGCCTTCCCCACTCCCAGAAGCTGCCCCGGGGATACAGCCTTGAGATAGGAATGTGGTGTTGACCATCTGCCTGGTACACTTGCCTGAACCCAGTTAGGACCTAACTTCTAAACTTCTAAGATTTGGCAAGCAGGTACGGGGATCTCATCTTGCAGCCACCCAAGACGTGCCTCGTAAGTTCCCTTGCTGATTAAAACTGCCACCTCTGAATCTAGAATGGTCTGCTTCTCTTCAGTCTCTCCTTGCCCTCTGCGTGCATTCATGGCCAATTTGCAAAACAACATGAGACAAACATCAACTGCCTTATCTCTCTTTTTTTTTTCCCAAAAAATTTTTGGTTTTTTTTGGGTGGGGTTTTTTTTTTTTTTTTTTTTTTTGGTCCCTGAAGTACTATTAGTAAAAGTTTATTGTGCTTATACCAAAAAGACAGTTTGCAAGCCAGGGGCTCTCAAACCAGAACATGGAAGGAGGCTCAGAGGTGTATTGTTATAAATCAGCTTATGTAGTGTAGAGGTAAGGACTGGTTACAGTATTAGAATTTTCTTAAACGAAAGGAAATTGGTTAGTGGTTACCTCATATCAGTTTGGGGATCAATTAAAGTTTCATCTATCATAGAAAAGTTGTTTTTTAAAAATATTTTAAGAACTAAAAGGAAGGACTATACGGAACATGGAAATGATAGGAAAGGAGAAGTAGAGCAGAGAAGGGATAAGATGCTGTAACTTCAGACGAAACCTGGCATCGAGAGCCTGGCGCTCTCTTCCAGAGGTGGCACACGGCTAATGCTCTCAGTCTTCACTTAGCTAGGCCAGGAGCTCTCAGATCTGGGCTATAACTCACCTTCCAGTCCACGGGCTTTTTAAAAATACCTCCCTTTGGTTTTTTTTTTTCTCCTTGATGATCCCAAGTGGTTGTGAAAGTGAATTTTGGTGAACGATATGGAAAGATATAGAAAATTGCTTTCAGCACAGCCCTGGAACCATAACAATACTGGATGATTTTAGCTCTCCACAAAAAAAGAAGGAAAGAAAGGAAGAAAGAAAGAAAAAGAAAAGAAGAAAGAAAGAAAGAAAGAAAGAAAGAAAGAAAGAAAGAAAGAAAGAAAGAAAGAGAAAGAAAAGAAAGAAAGAAAGAAAAAGAAAAAAAGAAAAGTTCTAGTAAAGAAAAATCAGTCCTGAGGCACACTAAACGAGATAAATATGTGTGTCTACCTTAGCCAATTGCAGGGAAGAAGAAGAGGCAGCAGGCTTACACATTTTGGCCTAGGGAATGAAACAGCTTCAATATTCAATTTCATTGTATTTTATATTTCTTTAGATTTGGATTAATCATGATAGTATCTTTTTAAGGTCTGATTCAGCCAGCAGAGGCTGTATAACTTACCAAAGGGAAGAGTAAAACCGAGTGGGCAGGAGCTGGGGGGGTGCAGAGCTCAGCTCATGTCTCAACGACCTGCATACATGGTGTCCCTCCCTGACAGGACAGGCTGACCTGGCAGGAATGAGTGACTCCTTTTGCCATGAAGCTGTGACAGACAGGCTGGGTTCCATGGTTTCTTTCTCTTCCAGTGTTGGGTTTCAGTGATACAGTGGACAAGGGTTCAAAATAGCCAAGTTACATGAACAATTGACTCGCTGCCCTTTTTTAGACCTGACCTCAGGCTTTTAACAGAATATCTCACAAAGCAGATTTGTTGATGTGTAGACCTCAACCCAGAAGGAATATTGAAAAAGTGGTCCATTTACATCCTATTGAGCAAAGATTAGAAGACAGGAAGAGCTCAGATGCTGGACCCCAACTGCCCAGCGTTAAATGCTGGCAACCTCACTCACCAGCTGTGTGATCTTGGAGGTATAATTTATCTCCTCTCTGGACCCCACTTCCCACCAGAAACTAGAGCCTTAGGCAAGGATTTTTCATGCCTTATTTGTGTGGCTTATTCTGAGAAGTGGTATCAATGAACAGGAGTTGGGAACTAGGGAGAAAGAAACAGGAGGGAAAGCCCGTTCTGGTGAACGTTACTGAGCTGGCTAATGCTGTGGTGACCAGGGCTCCATCCTGCCGGGGCCCTGCTGAGGAGGATGTTTCTCAGACTTGCCTGCCTAGGACCTGGAAGAGAGGGTGTTTGTCTCATGGCTTCTGTTCCCAGCAAGATTTGCCCAAGGCTCCTGGCCCTCCTGGTTCTGTCTAAGTCTCAGAATGTCTGAGTGGGTCCCACAGGCCAGTGGTGAGAGCTTGAGATCCTTGGAACAGCTAAAACCAGGTGCTATGAAATTTCACCTATATGCAACCAGATGTCCAGCATGGCCAGAAGAAAAACCAGAGTATCACTTAGATGTAATCTATCATAATATCAAATATATATATATGCCATTCCCATTTATGTAAAATTCTATGCCTCAGGCTCTAGTTTCTGGCAGACTAAAATAAAACATTTATGGTCATGTGGTGTAAATACAAACCAGGGAGATCAAAGACATGTAAAAAGAAAATTAAGAATGTGGTAATAAGACCCACCATGATTGAGCCATAACTGTGGGCATATTTTGGGTGCATTGCTTTACTTGATGCTCAGAACAAGTGTCTAAGCTGTAAGTGATGGAGTTGGGATTCACAGCCAGGCAGTCAGCCTCCAGAGCCCATGGGTTGATTACTAAGCTAGACAGAATAGCACCCGATATGCCTCAGACAATAAGATTCTAGAAAAGAGATTTCATTTTAGGATTGGAGGAGTCTGAGAAAGGAAGTAGCTTCGCATGGTCTGGAAAAACAAGTAGGACTTGGGAAGGCTATGTGGGAGGGGCCCAGTGCAAGTACACTACATTCCATTTTCCCTGATGAAAATTATTCCATGCTGTGACACAAGTCTTGGTCCAGATAATAATAACAAGGTTTCCATCACAGGTAGAATAAGTTTGTCCCTTCTCACAATGAAGATCTAGATATGCTACTGGAATGGGTTAGAGTTACTCAAAAGCAAAGCTTGGCATTTGAACTGTGCTGGGTGGAAGAGGAGAAGTAGCCAGGTTCTGAAAGGGTGGATTAAAAGCAGAGATGAGGAAAAAGTGGGAACAACCCTTGGTGGATTGGTCATTACAGGACGAAGGGAACCTCCACAGTGAGAATTAGCTCCTGGGGCTATCATAGATAGAATTTGGTTTCCAGTGGGGAGAGCAGATGCAGGGGTTCATAAGGACAGGCCTTGCGCCCTGGAGGGTGTATGTCAGATTTATTCACACCCAGGCATTATTGATGCTTTTCCTCATAAATTGTTTAGAAATGGTCCTCTGTGAACTAGATAATCTATTGATCTGTAGAAGAAAAGCATTTGTCATTTTCGGGTCCTTTGAGTATAAAATTTTGTATTTGTTTAGTCTTGAGAGAGGCAGAGCTAAGAAAATATTCAGCAACCTTAACCTTCAAATATATTTGACATTTGTAAGCGTTTCGTTCCTTGGGAATGATGGTTTACACCAATGGTCAGAGGGTTTCCCCTTGAGAGTTAATGGGCTTGTTATAGAACATCTTTAGTTTCTTGATTTAAATGTTCTGTCTATCCCGGGACACCTGGGTGTTTCAGTCGGTTGAGCGTCCAACTCTTGATTTAGGCTCAGGTCATGATCTCAGGGTCATGAGATCAAGCCCCGCATCAGGCTCCATGCTCAGCGTGGAGTCGCTTGTCCCCCTCCCTCTGCTCCTCCCCTCGCTCGTGCGAGCGAGCTCTCTCAAATAAATAAATAAAACCCTTTTAAAATAATAAATAAATGTTCTATCCTTTTTTCTGCTCATATAGGCAGATGAGGAGGTACAAAGGACTCAACAAGAAGATGATTCCCAGAGTTACTCAAGAGTAAAATTCTGTGATTCTGTACAAAAAATCAAGCCTAAACCCCCGGTGAGAGATCCTGTCTTTTTAAATCATGCATGCTTTAAATCATGTTTTTTGTTTATTTGTTTGTGTTTTTCAAAAATATCCAATGACAGATGCTTATATACATACCCTGACTCTTATTACCATGGAATATACAAGAAAAAAGCATGAGAACTGATTCCTACTTTTAAAATGCTAGACCCCAGCAGGAGAGATTAGAATACTGTCTGACTGGGTGAAGGGGGATGCATGGAAGGGTAGGAAATGTTAGCAAAAAGATGATTTTTTCAGCTCTGAAGTTGTACCAGCTTTCATTCTGGGAAAAATGGGGGGGGGGGGTACCAACTCAAGAAGAATCAAAACCAAAAAAAACATTTTTTAAAAAAAGTTAGCAGACCCCTGGATTGCTCATAATTAAACAAAACTATTAACATTGGCCTATAAAATAACGAATCTACTTTTTGGTATTTTAATCATTTTTTTCAAAAGCTGTTACTGCTGTAAATAATATATTTATGTGCCTATGAGAATGTTTGCTAGTTTATAAAAAAGTGACTACTAAAATTACTTATTCGAGGAAGCCACCAACTGCCTGTCGCACGTGTTAAATTTGTGACAGGTAATCTCGTACCTTTGACAAAGGTAATACGCTTAGGATGCCTAGAATGTGCTTGATGCCGCTAACATCAAGCTGCTCTCAGTGAGCTGTGTGACACTTATCTCAGCTTCTCAATTCTCAGTAAAATTTGAAATTCTATTGCTCGCTGCTTCTCCTTAGGTTCCACCTGGCTTCCCTTCCGCCGAAGAAGCCTATAACTTCTTCACTTTCAACTTTGATCCTGAACCAGAGGCATCAGAAGAAAAACCAAAAGCCAAAAACAGAGATGGAATGAACCAAGAGGAGGAGGAAGGAGAGGAAGAAGAGCCTCCTGTGCAAGAACACAAAATGGTATTTAATATCATGATGGTAATGAGGTGAGGGATGATGATGATGTCAATGACCACGATGGTGATGGTGATGATGATGATGATGATGATGATGACATCTTCACCAGAAGGAAAGTGGCTGAGGACAAACCTGCCACCATCACACACAACAGCTCATCCATCCCTTAGTTGAAAGCAATAGGAATACTACGTTCACGTTACTTTCTGTAGCCTTTGATATAATAAGGACCTTGATTAAATCTATTTCTGGTGGAAAAAGAAAAAAAGCAGAACAAGGCAGCTTACAGATTTTTCTTGCTAGACTCCACACAATGATTAGTATTCATTTCATATGCAAAATGTTGGCCTTTCCAAGGCAAATGAATCCTTGCTCTCCTTCTTCCCACAACCTCACAGGTGATTAGCTTTTTGTGCCCTATTCCACACCCAAGCTATGACTCAGACTCTGTAACTGTGCATGGCACATGTGAGACAAAAGAAAACATCCCATTAAAAAAATGGACAAAGGACTTGAATAGACATCTCTCCAAAGAAGATATACAAATGGCCAATAAGTACATGAAATACGCTTCATATCACTAATCACTAGGGAACTGCAAATCAAAACCACAATGAGATACCATTTTACACAAATTAGAATGGCTATTGTTAGAAAGAGAGAGAGAGAGAGAAAGGAAGGAAGGAAGGAAAGAAAGAAAAGAAAGAAAGAAAGAAAAAGAAAGAAAGAAAGAGAAAAGAAAAAAGAAAGAAAAAGAAAGAAAGAAAGAAAAGAAAGGAAGGAAGGAAGGAAGAAAAGAAACAAGGACTGGCAAGGATGTAGAGAAATTAGACCCTTGTGCATTGCTGATGGCAACATAAAATGGTGCAGCTGCTATGAAAACAGTCTGGTCAAAAACTCAAACATGGAATTACTGTGTCCCAGCAACTCCATTTCTGGGTATATACACAAAAGAATAGAAAGCAGGTACTCAAACAGAGACTTGTGCACTCAAAACAGAGACTTGTACACTTAATGCTGAGAGAAGTGTTCTCAATAGCCAAAAGGGAAAAGCAACACAAGTGTCCATCAGCAGATGAATGGATAAACAAAATATGGTGTATGCCTACAATGGAAAATTACGCAGCATTAAAAAGGAAAGAAATTCAGGGAGCCTGTCTTCTCAGTTAGTAGAACATGCAACTCTTGATCTCAGAGTCGTGAGCTTGAACCCCACGTTGGGTGCAGAGTTTACTTTAAAAAAAAAAAAAAGATTTGGATATGCCAATTATATCTCAATAAAAATGAAAAAATTTTAAATAAATAATAATTTTTTTAATTTTTAAAAAGGAAAGAAATTCTAATAGATACAGAAAACACATCTGACCAAATTCAATATCTATTCATGATAAAAACTCTTAAATTAGGCATAGAAGGAATGTACCTCAACATAATAAAGACCATCTATGACAAAACCACAGCTAATATCATACTCAATGATGAAAGGCTGAAAGCTTTTCCTCTAAAATCAGGAGCAAGACAATGGTGCTCACTCTCACCACTCCTATTTCAACATAATACTAGAAGACTTAGCCAGAGCAATCAGGCAAGAAAAAGAAATTAAAAGTATCTGAATTGGAAAAAATAAAATTGTCTCTATTTACAGATGCTTTGATTTTATGTAGAAATAATCCTAGAGACTCAACCAAAAAATTGTTAGATCTAATCAATGCATTCAGTAAAGTTGCAGCATACAAAATTAACATACAAAAGTCAGTAGTGTGGAGTACCTAGGTGTGGCCTAGATGGCTTAGTTGGTTAAGTGTCTGCCTTAGGCTCAGGTCATGATCCCGGGGTCGTGGGATCAAGCCCCACATCGGGCTCCCTGCTCAGCAGGGAGTCCGCTTCTCCTTTTTGCTCTCCCCACCCCATGCTCTCTCTCTCTCAAATAAATAAGTAAAATCTTTAAAAACAAAACAAAAACAAAAATCAGTAGTGTTTCTTTACAATTACAACAAATTTTCTGAGAATGAAATAAAGAAATTGATCCCGTTTACAATAGTATCAAAAACAGTAAAATACTTAGGAATAAATTTAACTAAGGAGGTGAAAGACCTGTACTCTGAAAAGCGCTAAGACACTGATGAAAGAAGTCAAAGAAGACACAAATACATGTAAAGTTATCCATGTTCATGGATTGAAGAATTAATATTATTAAAATGTCAATACTGCCAAAAGTCATCTGTAGATTCCATGCAAAGATTTCAATGATGCTCTTTACAGAAGTAGAAAAAAAAAAAACCACTCCCTAAAATTTATGTGGAACCACAAGAGACCCCAAAAGCCAAAGTAATCCTGAGAAGAACAAAGCAGGAGGCATCACACTTTGATTTCAAGCTATACTGTAAAGGTGCAGTCATCAAAACAGCATAAAAACAGACAAACAGGCCAGTGGAACAGAATGAAGAGCCCAGAAATAAACCCAAGCACATATGGTCAACTAATATTTGACAAGGGAGCCAAGAATACTCAATGGAGAAAAGACAGTCTCTTCAATAAATGGTGCTGGGATAACTGGATATTCACATGTAAAAGAATGAAAGTGGACCGCTATCTTACACCACTCACAAAAAACTAAATCAAAATGGATTAAAGACTTAAATGTAAGACCTAAAACCATGAAACTCGTGGCGGGGGGTGCGGGGGTGGCAGGGAACATAGGAAAAAAATCTTCTTGACATGGGTCCTGGTGATGAGTTCTTGGATATGACACCTAAGCACAAGCAACAAAATCAAAATGTAATTTTTTACCTAGGTTTATGGAAGCTTGGGAGTACTTCAGCTTATTCCATAGTAACTGTTTTACAAATCAATATTCAGCTTGTTCTCACTCTGGAGGTCTCGTGAGGTTACAGACAAGGAGGCCAAGAATGCAATCAGTTGAAAGCTCGACTGGGTCGGGAGGGTTTGCTGCCAAGGTGGCTTACTCTCCTGCCCGGCAGATGCCGGGTGTTGTCGGGAGACCTCCAAGCTGCTTGAGGGTCCTCGTGCCGTGACAGCTGATTTCCCCTAAAGCAAAAGATCCAAGAGAAAGCAAAGAGGAAGCCACGGTGCCTTTCCTGACCTCGAGTCAGAAGCTACATACCTGCGCTCATATCCTGCTCATTAGGAGCGAGTAACTAGGTCCGGCCCCCACAGAAAGTGGGGAGAACCGGGACCCGCTTTTGGAAGGCAGGGCTATCGACAAATCTGTAACTTCTGAAATCATGACATGAGACGTGACATGTCTCCACAAGCCACCTCTCCTCCTTTTTTCATGTTTCTCCCCGGAAGCTCTGTGTTCCTAAAACCGCCCTTTGAAATAAATCATGCCCTACCGTGAAGCCCCTTCCCTGTACTCCATGCCCCTGTCTGCTCAGACCCTTTTCCAGTATTTTTATTTTTATTTATTTTTTAAATTTTATTTTATTATGTTAATCACCATACATTACATCATTAGTTTTTGATGTAGTGTTCCATGATTCACTGTTTGCGTATAACACCCAGGGCTCCACGTAGTACGTGCCCTCTTTAATACCCATCACCGGGCTAACCCATCCCCCCCCCCCTCCCCTCTCGAACCCTCAGTTTGTTTCTCAGAGTCCATCGTCCCTCATGGTTCTCCCCCCCCCCCCCTCTCCCCCCCCCTTCATTTTTCCCTTCCCTCTACTCAAAGTGGATTTAGTCTTTCTGGCAGAGGTTTTAGATCCTGTGTAGCCCTCCTAGTCTGTCTTCTCTGCAGTTGTTCTCCGTCTGTCTCTGCTCACCACGAAGCCAAAAGGGGGCACAAGCGGGAAAAAAATCACACACTGAAATTAGGGCACTTTTCTCTTTTTTACTTTTTTGGAGTTTTTGGCATTCTGTGTCCTCAAGTTGTGCTGGGAGCTTGGTTACCATGTAGATTTACTTCCCCTTCTCATTGTTTGATTTATTTGGGAGGAAATACGAAGAGGCAGGTAGCAAGGCTTACCACCTGTGCAAATCTCCACGGATGTTAAAGGTTGTTGCTCATAAATGGGCACCAGGATTTAATTAAAAAAAAAAAAAAGGCGGAGGAGGAGGAAGAGAAGAAGGAGAAAACTAAGGAGGAAATGGAGAAGAAGAAGAAAGAAAAGGAGGAAAAGGTCAGAAAATATTCAAGCAAAATTAACATGCTGCAGCCAGCATTTGTGATGACAGACCCAGTGCTTGGGATTTTTACGTGCCTCCGTTAATTCTATCCTCACAAAAGCCTAAGAGGTAAGTAAGCTCTGTTAATATCCCCATCTTGGTGGAGAAAACCAAGGATAAGAACGGCAGGTAGGTTCCCCAAAGTCCCGCCAGCAATGCGGGTGGAGCTGGGCTGCATGTGTGGACCCTGAGCAGAGCGCAGACGCTGCTTACAGCGTCTTGCCCTGGGGTCGGTGCCCGGGGGAAGGTTAACATACCGTGTAACTTCTGAGCCCGAGGACGTGAAGTAAATGTGGAAGAATACACACCCTCCAAGGAGGCCAGAGTTGTTGAGATTTCAATTGCTTTGCCCAGCACATCTCTTCTGACTTCAGCCCATTCTGATTTTGAGATTTTCCGAGCGCGTGGAAGAGTGAAAAACAAAGAAAACCTGCTTGGGGAACATGAAAGGCTATCGAGTTTTATGCTTTCGTTTAAAAAAAGATGAAAAGAGACCGTCTTGTAAGTTGTCTGATGAGTTTCATGTCATTGTTTTTCTAAGCAGACTCGTAATCATGGCGTGATTTTTCCTACTGTTTAATGTAATGCAGGATAAGGAAGAGCTGCTTAGTGCTAAGGATGACGACGATTTTCTGTTGGGCTTAGACCACGCAGCTGAGGATTTTGTGGCAGTCAGACCTGCAGATTATGAAAGCGTCCATGTTCGACTGCAGATGGAAAGAGAACTCCTGTTCGTACCCAGTAGGCTGACAGGTACTTGCTCTTTTTGCCTTCTGGCTCAGCTTGATCATCTTCATTTTCCTTCATGAGAAATACAGCTGGTGTCTGAGGATGTCCAATTTCCATGGCAGATCCCAATTTCTAATCTGAGTTAGTCATCAAGAAATACCTTCAGATTAAAAAACAACAAAGAACATGAGAAAATGCCCATTGAAAAACACTCACTAATAGAATAGCAAAAGAAACACCTGGATGTTCTGGGGGGTCCCCTCATCAAATTGGCGACCAGTTCTGGGGGCAGAGAACCTGAGAGACTCTGAGATTCAGGCTGTGAGAAGGAAAATCTCTCATGTTTTATCCTCTACTCACTGTTGACCCTCCTAGAACACTTCTGTGACCAGATGTGGGGGGCGGGGTTTCCCCACACCAACCAATTCTCCAGCACAAGCTGGATATCCTACAGTTCAGTTCTGACACTTATACCTGGAGTCAGCACAGACCCCACAAGTTAAGGGCTCCGTCCCACAAGACTACCCTCTATTTAGACAGCAATCACAAGTAGTGGGTCCCCAGGTTACCCATACTTCTATTCAATTTTGCCACAAATTGGGGGTTCCATGACCACCCTCCTCAGGTTCGATAATTTGTTCTAACAGCACATGGTAATCAGAGAAACACTTATATTTAACCAGTTTATCATATAATAAAGGATATGGGGGCACCTGGGGTTGAGCATCTGCCTTCAGCTCAGGTCATGATCCCAGGGTCCTGGAATTGAGCCCCACGTTGCTCAGAGGAGAGGCTGCTTCTCCCTCTCCCTCTGCCTGCCATTCCCCCTGCTTGTGCTCTCTCACTCTCTCTTGCTCTCAAATAAATAAATAAAATCTTAAAAAAAAAAAAGGATATGAGAGAGCACACAGATGAAGAGACTCGTAGGCCAAGGCATGTGAGAAGGGGCACGGAGCTTCCAGCCCCTCTCCAGGGCCCCCACCCTCCCAGTACTCTATGTGTTCATTGACCAGGAAGCTCTCCAAACCCCTTCAGCTAGGATTTTTATGGAGGCTTCTTATGTCAACATGAGCGACCAAGTCATTGCCATTGGTGATTAATGAAATCTAGTCCCTCTCTTCTCCTGGAGGTGGGGCTGGAGGACAGCAGTGGCTGAAAGCCCCAACCATCTACTCACAGGGCTGGTTGCCCTGTCTGCCAGCACCATCCTGAGACTATCCAGGAGCCCCCAGCCACCAGGCATCTCAGTAGCGTGCAAAACGACATGATCACTTCAGAGATTCTGAGGGAGAAACAAAGCAGGTTGGCTGAGGTTCCTCAGGGGGCAGTGGCCAGGGTATTAAAGCAGATTAACTCCTAGTGACTGCCCCTTGCTTCGTTTCTGCCCTGGGTTTCCTTTTGCTCTTTTTTCCCCGGGAATTTTCTTTTCTCCGGAGAGTGCCTGAAGGACCTCCCCAGTTAGTTAGCTGGTAGTTCACGCTTAAAATGGGAGTCCCCAGGAGAGCCCCTCAGGCTGGGAAGGGGGGCTGCACTCACGTGGGAGTTGGGTTTCTTTCCATTTGTCATGTTCTGAGTTCCAATTAAATGCCAAGCCAAGGATAAATTATTGTTCCATTTTGATAGATCATTTTGAATCGTATATGGTTCAAAGTATTGGGATTTGTTGGACATCTCAGGTTTCCTTTTAAAGTAGGCAGCTGGGAAAGGTGCCCAAAGGTTACAGCTTCGCCATAACAATAACAGGGAACGCATTCCGTGCCCTTCCTCTGCCAGGTTCCTTTCTAAGCACTTGATGTGTGTCAACTCACCTAGCCCCACACCAGGGCTGGACAAGTGTTCTTTCTCATGCCCATTTTACAGATGACAAAGCAAAAGTCCAGAGAAGTTAGGGAACTAGTCCAAGACCACAAAGCTAGTGACGGGAAGGAGGCAGGTTTCTGTCCTGGGAGGCCAGCTGCAGAGGCCACACCCCCGGCTCAATGCGTCCTGATGCTCCTTGGGGGTTTTGAGAAATGCATCAGCCGCAGCCTCCGCCAAGGAGGAGCCCTGTCACCTTGTGTTTGTGCTCAGAGGTCTCACTGTCAGGCCTGTCCCTGGAGCCCCCTGGGCTGGGAGTGGAGGTTAGACCCCAGGGGCTGGCTCAGGCTGGGGGGGTGGGGTGGGAGGGGGGTGCGTGGAAGAGGCTTCAGGAGCCCCTGCTGCACCCGGCACCTGCTCTGAGTGAGGAATCCAAGCACCGGTCCATCTCCCCACCTCGCTCTGATCCAGAGGGGAGGCAACCCCTGGCCTAGCAAACAGGAGCTGAGGAGCCACACTGCCCCAGCTCGTCCTCCGCGAGGTATGACCTTGAGTGAGCTCCTCCATTCTCGGTGCCTCGCCTGAAAACAGGAGGAAATGAAATGATCCTACGTCATCATGACTCTGGGCGTTTCTTCTTCCTTTGAGCACTGAGCAAATAGCCTGAGCGAAGTGCCTGTGTGGTGACCAGCACACAGCAGGGGATCAAGAGTAATAATGTTTCTGTTACCGGTGCCGTTCTTGTTGCTGTTTGGAGAGTGGTTGCCAAAGCAGAGTGTGTTCGCCCCGGGGATGCAGGAAGCAAACTCAAAAGCTTCTATTGGCGCGTATTTTTAATCTCGTCCTTTCCTGATTTAATTGTGCGTGTACAATAGTGTGTCCACAACCAGGAAACACGTAGAGTGAGTGAGTGCTCAAAAACGTTTCCATGAAAACCTTCGAAGATGGCTGGATTAGTGCCGGCCTGTTAACCTAGCCATGTGAGTGGAGCGGTGGGGAGCAGACCCCCATGTTTGCTCAGGTTGGCCCCATGTTGTCTTAGGACTCCGAGGTCCATTTTTCCAAGAACTCTGGTATTAGTTGTTTTGTGTGGGTGAGTTTGGGAAGCGGAGTGTCCAAATGGTCACAAACAGGAAAATTAGCAGATTCAGGGATTTGGCAAGGTTTAGAGTGAGATCATTATAAACAAAAGAGACTCTCTACCCTTCCTCATTAACTCCCAGATCACCTCCGGACACTCACAGTTCCCCTGGCTTCTTCTCTTATTTTCTCCTCTGGACGACTTTGCCCACGCAGGCCCAGGGATCTTTCCAGAACTGAAAATCTGCTCGGTCACTCCCCAGATAGAGCCTTCAGGGTCCCATCCCCCTGACCAAAACCCAAGCTGCTGCTGACCTGCAGAGCCCTCCCTCCACCCTGCCCCTGCTCACCAGCCCGCAGTGCCCAGTGTTACCCCACTCCCTGGGCCACGCCATGCCCTCGGGGGTCCCCCATCCCGGCTCCTTCCCTCTCAACCTTCACGAGTTGGTGTAAACGCAAGGCCTCCTGAGAAAAGCCTCCCTCCCTGCTCTATCTCTTTTATCCTCTTTTTAACTT